GCTGATAATGGACCCCAGTTCTACAGGAACCATGCAGCGGATACAGAATGAGAAGAGCATCCTGGATGAACCTGAGTCCCTTTTAGAGGTTTGAACATTTCATCTCTTTCTCTCAAGCTGAAGTTTATGCTTTTTTCATGAGTATATAAATTCAGCACCTTGGACAGAGATATTGTCATACAGCTTCAGTAAGAATTTTGCTTTTCTCTGGTGCTTTTTCTCCTACTGGTCCAACAAACTATTTGATGGACCTCCTTGTGAATTATCTTTTACCATTACTGATGTATTCAAAAACTGTTTGTAAAAATTATTTTTACATATGCATGTTTACAAAGAACAACAACAATAATAATTGTCTATTGAACTAAGAATTTACATTAATAGAGCATGCTGTTCTACAATTACATTTACACATCTTGCAGTTTTCCATTTTGGGCTCAATGGGCCGCTGTTGATCAACGTGCTGAAGTTGTAGGCAGCGTTATTCTCATAGACGCCCATGACATGAGGAGAAAGAAAGGGAGAGACGGCGCTGTTTGCGGACAGTATACTTCATTCACGGACACGTTTTATGCTCTATTTTGCCTTTTGCTCAGTGGAATTTATTTTTGTCGTGGTAATTTGTCGGTTTACAACCTGTTGGGATTGTTTATTTCCGATCATGCAGTGAGATTTAGCCTTTTTGTGACGCAGTATACCGTGGATAGAACAATGGCACGGCAAGTATTGTATTATATGTTGATCTCCTGCTTTCATTCGGTTATCGGACAAGTCAGCTACTCAATTCCAGAGGAAATGACAAAAGGTTCTGTTGTGGGGAATATAGCTCGGGATTTAGGTTTAGATCTAAAAAGACTAAATTCAGGTAAAGCCCGTATATTTACAAGCGACAGTGCAGAATACATAGAGCTTAACCGAGAACGAGGAGTCCTCCTTGTGAAAGAGAGAATCGACAGAGAGTCACTTTGCAGACAGACGACGCCTTGTGCTATACATTTGCAGATTATTTTAGAAAACCCGATGGAACTTTTTCGCGTCACAGTAGAAATTACCGATATAAATGATAACAGTCCCACTTTTAAAAACGATGAAAAACGTTTTGAAATAAGTGAATCTGCTATTACAGGGTCTAAATTTGTGTTAGAGAGGGCGGTTGATTTGGATATTGGCCAAAATGGGCTCAAAGATTACAGTTTGAAACCTACCGAAAATTTTGTTTTGAAGGTAGAAAGTCAGGCGGACGGAAATAAGAAGGTTGAAATGGTTTTACACAAGCCTTTGGATCGAGAAAGAGAGGAACAGATGTCGTTTCTGTTAAAAGCTGTTGATGGTGGAAATCCTCAAATGTCTGGTACAGTGAAGATTTATGTGACGGTGCTCGATGTAAACGATAACGCTCCCGTATTTGCGCAGTCTGTTTATAAAGCGGCCATAGCTGAAAATTCTCAGACAGGGACCGTAGTGACAACAGTTAGTGCTGTTGATGCAGATAAAGGAACAAATGGGGATGTGTCCTATGCTGTGTCTACTACTATGGACAGTGTCTCTGATGTATTCACAGTAAATGAAAACGGCCAAGTAATATTGGTTGGTGAAGTTGATTTTGAAAAAGCCAAATATTATCAAATAGATGTTGAAGCCAAAGATCGTGGTGGTCTTTCTGATTCTACCAAAATTATAGTTGATGTTATTGATATCAATGATAATAAGCCTGTGATCAATATATTGTCAAAATCTGAGTCTGTGCCAGAAAACTCACAACATAATACAGTTATAGCTATGTTCAGTGTCTTTGACCCAGACTCAAATAACAATGGTCAAGTAAACTGCAGAGTCAATGAAAATATACCATTTAGAATTATGACTTCTTCTAATGATTTTTATAATATTGTGACAGACAGTGAGTTAGACAGAGAGAGAGCCTCT